ATGCCAAAAATGTACTTTAAAATGTCTAGATCATTAGCAGTTTCATAGTAAAAAAAAGAATGAATATATATATATATATATATATATATATATATATCACGCTCGCCACAAATAAAATATTCATTTTATATTTCATTCTCAATTTGGAAATATAAAAATCATTACTGTAAATTTATCAAGATAAAGTCAGTTCTTATAATGGCAATACTACAAAATGCAACCAAAATTCTTAAAATAAAAATATTTTGTTTTGCTATATAATAAGCAATAAAAAGCAAAAGTATGGATTTCTAACTGTTAGCAGAAAAGAGTAATTTTTATCTGATTGTCTACTTTAAAAATGAACTGTAACAAAATAATTCAGAACTCCATGAATATATACCTGCATTACAGTTTTAATTAGAAAAAACAAATCCTTTATTAACATGTAATGTGGAGTTCACAAAGCAAACTAAATTTGATTAAAAATAAATTACTAATTTATGCACATTAACCGTTTGTTAAGAATTCTGACTTGCCAAGCTAATGTCTAATAAAAACCATCTGTCATGGATTGGAGTATGGAAAGGACTAGCAAAGTCACTTTCAATCCAGCCTCTGAAGAATGAATACATTAGCAATCTTCTAGTTATTTTCAGTTGGGAAATGATGGCTTTCACACAATCTTTTTACTGGAACTCAGGATTTCAAAATTATTAATTTGAAGCTTATGCATGATTTGTGTTCATATTATCCTTATTTATCTAAAGATCAGTTTTTAATCACTGAAAACATTGATCCTAAAATCTTTAACAGTTTGAAAATTCAAAGGCATACTATAGTCAATTTGAGAAACTAGAGCAATAAACTTAATATTTTAAATACTTTAAAAAATCATGTCATTTTCTTATATTACAAATCTTAAGTCATAATTTTTATGTCACTAAAAAATTAGTAAATGAGTATATAACAGACATGTAGAGGGAAATGTAATTTAGTTCATGAAACCATTATTGCAAAGAAAATTAAAATCAGGATTTATACCAAATCAAGGAAAACAAATGGTGACTTTTTTTTTTTAGCTGAGCCATCCTGCTACCTGGCATCTCAGCTTGGGCTGGGAATCAAACTACTTGCTGCTCAGAGCTCAAACTCTTGAGAGAGCTCTTAACCAACTGAGCCACTCGGCTGGCCCCAAATGGTGAGTTTTAAATTCCTCTCATAGTACTAAGTTTATTAAAACACTTTTTAAAAGACAGATTTTTAGGACTTCCAAGCATGTATTTCATGTTCAATATATAATACTTTTTATATTGATAGGTTGTCAGGAAAATGAAATACTCTAGACTTTTCAGTTTTCCTTTCCAAATTTAAATAGCAAAAACTAAAATACATATATTAATTTTGGCTGAATTCAGATCAATTTTCTAAAACACATTATTTTATCCCCTTGGTGAACTATGTATATTGAATATATAAGCAGTTAGACTCTTAGAACATGATGATTATGTTTAGCAGTAACACAAACATGCAAAGCTGCTTACTTACAACCTAAAATTTATCAGGCTGCTGTGCTGCTTTAGTTTGTGTGCTTTCAGAACAATATAATATTGCCTTTAAAAACTGAGATTTCAGAACTCTGCCTTGTATTGAAAGCCACCCCTATTTGTTCCTTGTCTTGGTTGATTTTCTGTTTTCAGATTTTCTCTCTTCAGCTGTCAGCTGATCTTCAAAGGACTGCTGCTTCTAATTATTATTACTATTTTCACTATCTACTGTTTTTACTTCTTCCCTTCCCTCTTCCCTCTCCCTCGTTTTTCTATTTCCTTCTTTCTTTTTCTACTTGTTCCTTCTCAAGCTAGATCAGTTTTGGAAACAGCAGGCATTTGGCTTCATCATTCAGTGAATGCATTTTTTTCTGATTGGCACACTGATGAATCATATCATTCATGTTTTCTGTAAATGCCACTTCAGTTACATCCAGGATTATTTGTATTAGTTTCTGGGCTCTCAAAGACAGATGGGCTCACATATCCTAGATGTGATTACATCCAGCCCCACCATTAAGTGAACCACATGTTTTAAGTATTCTATATTATTTAGCTATATGTCTCAATCCAAAAGGTTAAAGATATAGATGCAGAAAATTTTTGGTCATTTTGATTATTCAGGATTCAATAAGTGGTGGGATATAGTTTATGATGGTACTTGAAAGATAATTTATGTAATGGTAATTCTGCCTGGAAACAACTAAATCTGAGTAGTTAAACAAAGAACAACTTGGACTTTGAGTGAGGTTTTTACATATCTGTGCTTGGCAAAAAATGGCTGGAATTGAGACCTACTGACTAGCCAGTAAGAATGTACTTTGAATTTTTTACAGGTATGTGGACATTACACAGCAAGAATTCATCCCTTTTTAACATTCTACATTAACAAAATCAGAGTCTTAAATGATTTTCTCTTAGAACACATTAAAAACAGGGTCAAAATTAATTTACCAATTATTTATTTAATACTAATCTCTTTAATACTAGAGCTAGAAATTTAACTCTCTGGCTTTCATATTTGAAGTTAAGAAGTATATATTCTAAAGCAAGATTCATGAGAAGTTAGTCATTTCTTTTTTTTATCCACATAAAAATATAAGCATAGGAAATAACTTTTAAAATTAGAAAAGAGATGCTATGAAAATTAAAATAGTTTTTAAAATTGGAAAAGCTAGATTGTCACAATGGGCTAATAAATTACAAAAAAAAACCTTAAAAGAAGGGCAGAAAGCATCATGAATATTCTTTTCAGGTCAAGAAAGTTTAGTGTTTCAATCTTTAGATAAATATAATATATATGGTTTCAATATTAGAAACTTCAGAAAAGGGGTACAATTATTTAAAGTATTTACTTTTAATGGTACTATAAACACTTAGAAATCCAAAACCCTGAATAGCCAGAATCATAATACGCAAAACATGAAGCAGCCTCATTTGAAATGCTTTTCCAGTCATTTCAAGCCATAGTCTGATTTACCATGATTAGCACTGGCATTTCTTTATTTCTACTTATTAAAAAACATATTAAAGTCTAAGGTATAGAAAATATCCAAACAAAGAACTTAAAGTAATAATAAAAATGCAGTGATTTTTCTAAAATGCTAATCATTGTTTTAAATCCAAAATATGACTTGATTAAAAAAAATTCCCAAATTTCTGTTATAAGTGCCAAACAAAATAAAACTGGCCCACTGTACCCCAACCCCTCCAAAACAACACAAAGCAAGCTGAACTGTAAAAGCCTGTTTCTACAGCTAATATCTTGCCTGCAAGACTGGGAGGGCTATGAGAACTGATGGTTGAAAGAGCTTTGGAAAAGCCCACACATTCCATGGAGAATACCACTACCTGGTGGGGGCTAGGCATAGCAAAGTGCCTTCCTGCCAAAGAAAGAAGAGAGAATCTGTATTTGGGATAGAACAAAAACCAATGTTACAGTATATTTCAACAAAAATTTCAATAGTAAAAGATTAAAGAAAATTACATTAGATAGTTCTAATCACTGGTGCATGAATATCTTCAAGTTTGAAACTGCACCAGAAACTTTATAGTGCATTTTCACTATTAAACTATTTCTTCAGGATTTAAGTCAATGGTCTGTATCAAGAACTTTCCGTGAATAAATTTAAATGTAATTACATTTGACAAAATTATCATTCAGATGAATAAATAAAAAAGATAAAACATTAAAAACTAACCGGGTAAAGCTTTTGAGTGTGTCTGTTCCTTGTTGGAAATATGTGCACCTCCACCAAATACAGCAGACCACATTTTTTCATTTAGAGGATGTGCCACAATCCGAAATAATTCATTACTAGAATGTGTTGCCAAGCCATGGATGAAGAGACTAAGATACACTGCTGTGAGAATCTCACAGAGCAAAATTGTAAGCCCTGGCTGGGCTTCCTCTCCAGAAGAATTCAAAAGTCGAATTAGAGAAGTTATTCCTAGAGCCAAAAACAAACAAAGTTACTGTTGACAATAAATTAAAAAAAATAAAATATTAACTACATTTTCTAATTCTTGCAAAAACTTTATGCATCAGGATTAAAATATTTTCTTCTCTAGATTCATAGGCTAATAGAGATTATTACAGTTAATGCATAAATTTTGAGCTATTTGTTCAATTTAGAGAACACTGAAAATCTGTAATCTGATTAAAATATTACAGATAAAATTTAATTGCCATAAAAATGTTTTTCTGTTATGACAAAAGCAAAATTATAAAAAGTGGTATAACAAAACATTTGAGTTATTTTAGTATAACGATGAAAGAAAAACTAAAAGTAACCGCAAAATTTGTAATGAGTGGTGAATATTGAACTGGTATCGATTCTAACAATATTTAACAATAATTATCATACAGCAAACCCAAACCAAACCTACTTTTTCTCCAGCTGATTAAATTCAATAGGGCTAAGAAAAACTCATATGTGTATAAATGATTTCTACCTGGCCACTGAGCAGGTGATGTATTGGGAGTTATTGCTTCATCTAAGCTTCCTGTTTTCAAAGACTGTCGATGCGGAAGCAGTACTGTCTGATACACCATTCCGGTAAACTGATTTGTTTGACATGAACTAAGAGAAGAAAACATTTAAATAATAATAATCTACTGTAAATTACAATAACAAATAGTAAAACAATAATAATATACCATGATCTAAAAGGGATTTCACGTGTAATATTCCCATGTTTTACATCTAACTTCCAGGGGACCTTTTGTTGAGTTATACTGCTATTAAACCTATATTATACTCTTTAGTGTTATATTAAAACAAAGTGTCCTTTAAGTGTAAATAAACAAATTTTCTAAATTAAAACACATGTAATAGGTTTTAAGTATATGTATTTAGTGAAAGACAGAGAATATGTACAAACGAGAAAACTAAATTACTATTGACCAATGAGTAGCAAACTTATACATCACACTTTAAAACAAAGTTATCTGGTTGAAAACAAAGTCAGCTTAGGTTCAATCTGATATTTAATGTCTAGTCTATCCTACATCAGGGTAGGTTCCATCAAGTATATGCACCACGTTCCAGGCACATAATGAAAAACACGTTTTCTGTCTCCCGGGAAATTAATAGACTGGTGGGAAAATAAATAATTTTTATTTTTTAAATTTATTCAGACACAAATAATTTTATCATATTGTTTTGAAAGACAAAACCTATACATACAGTGCCAGGAAAGCAAGAGACAGGAGTAGTTCACATAATTTGGGAATGCAGGGTAAATGGCACTTTAAGCTAAAACTAAACAGATGAATGAACGAAATAACTTGCAGCTTGACATAAACTATGAAATATAACAGAAAATGGTACAAAAGATTTTGTTACTCTGTCAGAAATTCCTGTATCATATTGAGTAAAGGAATATAATATTTAAATATAGCATATTTGATGGTGTAGAGCTGTTCTGATTGGCAAGTTTTATTAGTCATAGCATTTTGATGCATTTGTAGTTTTCTTGCTTTACTTTCCAATTTTAAGGTGGCAGAGTAACAACAAAAACATCCCCCATTACAGTAAGCTTATGGAAATAATAAGAAAGCAAAAAATATGCTGATGAAAGTAAAGCCACGCTCAGTAACAAGAAAGTGAACTCTTGGAGGACCAGGGTGAAAAAAATCAAGTTGAAGCTACCTTAGGAATACATAACCAGAGTAGTAAGCTTAGGTTACCCATGGGAAAATTCAAACACATAAGATAAACAGACAATAAAAAAATCAATACCAAAGAAGCCTGACATCATCATGTAAGAGACAACAAACTCAGTGAAAGACCTGCATGAGGAAACAGACCTATCAGAACATTAAGAAAAGTGTTATAGTATAAATCTATACTCAGATAGATTTTTAAAAATCAAGAAATAAAGACAATACATTATAAAAATAAAAGTGGCTATCAAAATCAAAGGGCTCTTAAAAACGAAAAATAGAATTTCTAAAATACAAACTTAGATAGGCTTAATAAAAGATAGGCTGTTGCTGAAGAATGAACTAGTGTCTGGAAAATGAAGCCAGGATTTTTTCTGAAATGAAGTAAAAAGAAATAAAGAGAAGGAATATATGAGAGAAAAGCTAAAGGACAAATAAATTCTAATATTTGTCTAATAGGAAAAGAAATTAGAAGAGAGAAGACAAAATGCTTGAAGAAATAAAAGTCAAAGGATTTCAAAGAACTAAAGAAAGGTATAAAAAGACCCCAGAGTGTTAAAATATTTCTTAAAAACCGAGACAAGTAATAGTGAAATCTTAGGACATAAAGAGAAAAATCATCAACAAAATAATCAACTCTTCTGTGAAATTTTTCTCAATTCCAAGTCAGTCTCTCCCTCCTTTGTGTTCCCTAAGCCTTTTACTATCCATCATATTATAATTCTTATCATTTAAGTACGATGCCATGTTATGTACCATTTATCAGTTCATGTTTGTTTCTAACTAGACTGATCTTAAGGAAGGAGAACTTTTCTCAGTGTTTCACCATGTCTGGCATGAGGCACTGATCAATAAAAGGCCGGTAAATAAGTTATATTGACAAGGGTTTATTGGAGATTCATTTGCCATACAGGCATAAGTTAAAATTTCAAAGATGAAAATAAAAGTACTCAACACTTCAGCCATGTGCTTTTTGCATTATTTAGTGTACTGCTGTATAGTTTTTCTAAAGCAAGAGCAAAAATATTCTGAAACTTCATCAGTTACTGCAAGCATTCTTAAATTTCACAAAAAGATATTTACCTGTAGTTATGACTACCACAAAGGCACTGATATATACAAGCAGAAAGTGAGGCTGCTAAAGTATGCATTACATATACCTGGAAAAAAACACAAAATTACTTTAAGTATAACTTCTAAAAAAATGTAACTTTCTTCAAGACCTAATATAATCAGTATTTTTAAAAAGATGAGAAAATGATTTTGCCCTTATAAACTATTACCTTAACACTCATTTCTACCTTCAGAGGTCTCACTACAAAGTAAAAATACGGATACCTTTGGCACCTGCTACCCTTTTACTATTTCAAGAGGAAATAGGAACAGATGTTAGCTATTCAGTCGTGCATGAACCATGTATTAAAAGCAAGTCCTTTAAGGCTCAAGCTACTTCTGCAACCAAAATATAAAGAAGCACAGCCTGACAAAGGACAGTTCGCCTATGGACAGGTCATTGAAGAATATGCTATCACATATTTCACTTTCTATAGGAAACAAAGAATTTGAAGAGAGTGAAATTTTAGTGACAGGAGAAGGTATAAAAGACAGCAACTAAAAGGCAAACATTTGTATCGGGGAAGAGAGGGTTCTAAATATGACATGGCAAGAAATAACAGAAGTAGATCTGAGGATGGAGAAACTTTGCCTAGGTAAGAGAGTAGACCAGACTATTAAAAGACTAGGTTCTTGATCTCATTATGAAGTATGACAGTGTTTTATGTAGATAAAAATGGAGAGTAACAGATTAAAATGTCATTGCTATTTCCCCTTCAATTATCAATAAGATGTGGTATGAATTAAAATCAATATTGTTATGTAAAAATGAAGACAGCAAAGACTACGTATGGGAGAGTGCAAAAATGATCAGAGTATTTTCCAGTTTCTCCAATCAAAAGGTGGAGCTCATTTCTCACTCATTGAATCTGGGCTGCCTGTGACTAGTTTTGACCAAGAGGACACAGCAGAAGTCATGTGTGAATTCTGAGCTTAGTCTTCAAATGGCCTTGCAAATTATACTTTTTCTGCTCTTTAAACTCCGGCAAACCACAATGTGAAATAACCTAGGTGTGGCTGTTAATTTTATGGGTCAACTTGACTGGGCTTTGGGGTGCCCAGACATCTGGTCAAACATTATTCTGGGTGTCTGTTAGAGTGATTTTGGATGAGATTAACATTTGAATAGGTAGAATGAGTAAAGCAGATTGCCCTCCCTAATTTGAGTAGGCCTCATTCAGTCAACTGAAGACCTAATAGAACAAAAGCCTAAGTATGAGGAAACTTCTGACGATTGCATTGAGCTGGGATGCCAGTCTTTTCCTGACTTTGAACTAGAACTGAAACACTGCCTCTTCTTGGGTCTCAAGCCCACCAGCTTTAGACTGGAACTTACACTATCAGCTATCCTGGTTCTTAGGCCTTGGACTCAAACTGAACTACATGATCAGCTCTTCTGGGTCCCGAGCTTACCAACTGCAGAGCTTGGGACTTCTCAGCCTCCACAATCATGTGAGCCAGTTGCTTATAACAAAGCTCTTTACACACACACACCCTTATTGGTTTTATTTCTCTAGAGAACTCAGACACTAGGCTTGCCTGTAGGAAGATGAAACCCACATGACCCAGATTCTCTTGTGAGCCCTGCAAACAGTCTGCCAAACATCAGAAATGTAAATGAGGCCATTCTAGATTGTCCAGAATCCAGTCAACCTACCAGCTGACCAAAGACAAATGAAAGTATCCAGAGATTACCCCAGCTGGCCCAAACCAGAAGCACTGATGAGCCAACCCACAGAATCATGAGCAAAATAAATGAAGGCTATTTTAAGGTACTAATGTTTCAGGGTGGTTCTTAAGCAGCAAAAGCTAACTGATACACCAGCGGTATGCTTATTATTAAAGCTAAATATGGAATAGGGTTTGGCTAAAATGATCACAATCTGAAGGAAATTAAATTCCTAACTGTATAATACACAGTGTGGACATTTATACTACAGAGCAATATAGGAAAATAAGTGCTAAAATTGTATTACAAGGGTTAAGGTCATCCTAAAGGGTAAAACTGTAGGAGAGGCTACCATTATGCAAAGTAGGAAATCAAACTGTTTTGGTATCACAGCCTGTGAGGTGGGTATGAACCAGATGACAGACTATCAGGGAAAAACAAAAGACAGAAACCAAAATAGTCAAAGTTGGTCATACTGTAAAGGCTTTCAATGTTTGGACAGTAAAAATGAAATGTGATGTTAATGGTAGATGGATGGGAAGATGATATGACTGATTAGATAACTATATGATTAGTTTTGCATTAGTTTAGAGTCACCTGAGAAAATTTTTTAAATTACATACTCTTGGGACTCACTCTCATGTAAGTCTGGAGTGAATTTAATAATCCAAATGTTTAACAAGCATTTCAGGAGGTGATTCTGCTATAGCTAGTATCATAAATCACTGTCTAGCCTAGAGGAATGGGCAAAATACTTCACACTATCCTTAAAATATGTAATGTTTTAAAATTAACAAAGAAAAACTTTACTTATATATTAGTAATTTTACACTAAAATATTAAGTTTCTCTCTCTAAAAAACAATCAGCTTTTTGGCTAAGTGTACTGCTAAAGAAATTACTCACGTATCTGCATTCACACCTATTGCTCTTATCTTAATAAAATGTCCAAATAAGACTTAATAACTAGCATTGTGAAGTTCTCTATAGGGTATAAGTAACACAAGTAAGATGACCCTGGCCTACAACCAGAAGTTTTCTTTGATCAAAACCAATATAAACTTGGTAATGTAACAATCACTATGCATATATAGTCTGATATTTAAAATTGTTTTTAAAATCTAACATGTATCTTTTAGTTTTATTATAGTATATAGGAAATTAAAAGACTAAAACCAAGCATACTTACTTTATTGCTTTGGATATCAGGATGGGGTGGTGAATCAAAGTTTATTATGGCATGTAGAATATCGTGTGTTAGATTACTGAGGTGCAATAATGGATTGGCAACTACTGTTTTGGCACTGGCCGTACAAGCAAAGAGGAGAGGTACTGAGGTTTGCTCTGACAGAGGGCTAGGAAATATTGGTTCTGACGTTTCCTTAAAAGCAAAGGGAAAAAGGTTAATCAATCATTTACAGTTATAATCCATTACTTATGTAATACAGGGGTTTGTTTGAAAAACTTCAAAGCAATTAAAATTAAAAGCATAACAAAAACTTTTTATAGACTTAGGGATTTGAGGAGGTCAACATTCCACCAATTACTATATTTTGCATTGTATAATGTGCTCTCATGTATAATGTGCACCCACATTTTTGGCCCATACTTTCAGGGAAAAAAATCATTTGTTTTAATTTTTTAATTCAAATTTTTGTTTACATTTAGATACTTGGTTTTTGTACTATAAAGGAATTTTAGCATTTATTTTTTAACATATTATGGTACAAAAAATTTTATGTAACAAATAATTACAAAACACAAGAACAGAGACAAGGTGCAAGAAATTCTGTGTATCAGTAACAAGTTTACAATATTTATGCATCATAGAAAGCCAAGAACTCTTAATAGTTGCAAGTTTGCCGTAAGTTCAACAAAACCAATTATTGTATTCCAGGGTATTATTTTGCATATGGATATCATTATTGATTTCTAGTGTTACACTTTTAACTCATAAGCATAAATAAAAGANATGCATGCATGAATATATAAATTTATTTATTTTACAAAAGTAATTGATGGGGGTGGCCTCCAAGGATAAAGAGAGGTGGCAACAGGACTATATTTTTCATTAAAAGCTCTTCGGTACCCATTTATTTTTCTAAACATGTATATATATAATTTTGTAAAAACCAGACATTTACTATAAACAAATGTGTCAACTAGCAGTTTAAGAGCTAGAACATAAATTTAAAGTACTATATTAACATATTTTCAAATATAAAGTTATTTTAAAATCATTTACTGCTTAAAAAAAAGAGTAACAGGAGAGGAAATATGGAATGTCATTTAAAGGAACATCTAAAATACCGGTATATTAATTCATTTTTACACCAACATAAAATACCTACCTTTTCTATGCATTTGCGTAAGATCCGGGTATTCCGGACCCACCATCCCACACCCATAGCTCTCAGTTCAGACCAAGTGGGATTGTCTTTCTGCATTACTGGCAACATGTTCAGCAGTTCTTCTTCTGCGACTGAGTGAAATGCCCAGGCAAAATGACTAGTGGACAGGCCTGAAGAAATGTCCAAAATAATGTTTGTAATAAATATAAACATGATTATATAATAATTATTCAGAAATGCGTGTTCCATATTTGCAATAAAAAGGTCTAAACTTTAAATGAGACTCAAAAAGTTACAATTAAGTGTTTAGGGCTACAGAGAATATGGGTATTTTTTTCCCCCTCACTTCTCCAAACAATTCTATCACTTCAATGTTTACAACGGACATATATTTTCTATAATTAAAAATACATTTTTTAAAAAACAAGGACAAAATGCTTATGGCAGATGTCGTTGTGCTGAGTATTGTTGTTCTCTAGCTATTACCCATGATCTTTTCTTAAAAAATGAGAAACACTTAAAGCATTATTCTATACTGGTATGATTCTTCTTCAAAGCTGATTCTCATCTTCCTTTGGTCAACATTTGTATTGTGCATTTAATTCCATGGAATAAAAAAAACATCAAGTAGACAGTATAGCTTGGTGAACAGAACTTAAGACTGTAAAGACTCAGGAATCAGAATGCACACATTAAATTCCAGCTCCATCACTAACTAACAATATAACTCTGAGCAAGTTCCTTAGTCTCTTGATTCCTCAATTTTCTCATTTAGAAAATGTGAATAGTCATGGCACCTACCTTATTATATTATTGTGAGGATTAAAATAAATAATATAGTTAAAACATTTAGAATAATACCTCACACATAATAATTATTGTTACCCCATATCATCATTTAGGAAGATACTTTTATATTTATACAGCAAACTTACATTAGCAATTGTGTCAACCTACAGGCCCAACATGGGGTGTTTTATTGTTCAGCATCTATTTCGTCTCTTCATAGTACATTTTGTTTAGTATTATTGGGTGAAGTAAATGATTAATTATAAGATGTGGCTTTGACACATACGGACTGAAAATTTTAAACTAGCATTCAGTCCAAAAAACCTGAAATTCCCACTATACCCAAATCTTTGGAAATAAAGAAATAGAAAATTAAAAAAACAAAAACTATGCTGTGAATGAACTGTTATTCTAAATTATTTTAGATTCCTATTATCTCTCAAACAAGTTCAGTAATTTTTTCATAAATAATTAATTTGACTTAGAATTTTAAGCTTTACTTTTCTAAAGCTAAATACAAAATGAGGGGAAGGAGGAAGCAGAAAAAGAAACAGAACAAGAAAGGAAGACAGAGCAAGAGACAGAGACCACTGAGTAGAGGCTAACATGTAGACTCGCAATAACACTGTTTCAACCTATAGATCCCAATAATGTTGGAAGCCAGNTCCCTTATCATAAGAAGTTCATCACCTCATAAAGCATTCATATAAAAATATGGAGTATGAAATCAGCATATCATAGAGCCTGATATTAAATTGCCCTTAAACTGCAATACATACAAAACTTTACAAATCCACAATATGATGCACCACACAAAAAGGAGCATTCCTTAAAACAACGTAATAAAGAAAATAAATAATTTTAATATTTAAAAACAAAAAAGGCAGTCCAACAGCTTTTTGATACATGTAATATTTTGACTGGCTATCATATAAGTTACATACCTGCTGAGATTCTTGTAAAAGCAAAATCAATTCCATTCTCACAGATGCAAGACCCCCACCATGGGATCCATGAAGTATGCAGTAACTAAGAAACATCCTTAAGAGTGACTGATATTTCAAAAGCCACTGTCTTTTTTCCTGAAAATTTTCTCTGAGTTGTTTCACTTTTGTTTGGTGAAGCAAATCTTCAGCACCTTCATTTAATCCCAATTCATCTCCATTTGCACCAAACGCGGACTGTACTTCTTCAGCATCTGAACAATACTCACAAGTCCTCTGAAGAGCTATCACCTCTTTTTCAAGCCAGTGGTACAGTTGGTAACGCAATTTTCCACCATCTATTTCATAGCCAGTAGATAAAGTACGAAGTTCTACTGTGAGAATCTTTAAACATGCTCTAAATTTTAACTGAACTGCAATTATATCTTCTGACGGAATTAAAATGTCATTTTCATCTAGTGTGCTAAGAGATTCTGTGTAAGTAGAATTTGTTTCATCTATTTTTTTTATTTTTCTCTGTAAAGGTTTTAGTTCCTTCATTGAAATAGGAAGATCTTCGTTTTCTTCATCATTGTCACTGTCCCATTTTAATTCTAAAGAGTCATCCTGAAATACAACACTTGGCTGGCTCCAGTCAAAAGATAGAGTGGAGTTTGACTGCTTCTCCGAGGAACCCTCTGAAGAAGATCCAAAACCATTTATCAGTGACTGCGACCAATCAATAGCAGAAGACTTATCTTCCCTTGCATCCAATTTTAATGGAAGAGTAGGAGAACAATCTTTACTAGTATCCAGAAAACTAGATGTTCTACAAAAAGGTTTTGTTTTCTTGATGACTTTTGGTATTTTTGATAATACTTCCAAAGCCAACATGGGGCAGCCAGCTTTTAAATGAGCACTGGCAGTAGTAAAAAATAATCTTCTTTCACTTAAATTAATTGTTCCTGCTAGTCCACTTTTTCCTGTTAAACTCACGTGTGTGGAAAATGCATCAGATGATCCAAAATGACGTCTCAGCAAAAGAGGATGTGTTCTTAGATAATTGTAGAAATTAAAAACTGCAGGATTACAGGCTGACATTATGTCTTCTTCTGAAAAGTAAATTCATTTTGTGAATTAAGAAAAATTCTTCAAAAACTGTATTGTAGTCCTTTTTCTATACTATGGCACCTTTATGTACCTGGTCTTTTGACAACATTTTATTAACAGACTATACTAACACACAGCATTGAAGAGACAAGAACACATTTGTAATCAGTGTTCTAACACAGTAGAAAAACAAAGGTTATGATGATTTCACATCTCTTTAGGCAACAATCTAAGATAATTTAAAACATGTACTTACACACTTTTAGTTCTTTTTCTCCTATTTTCCTGGACACTCCTTCCCAATCTGCTTTACTAAATTTTTCTCATCTTCTCGACCTTTGAATGTAAAGTATCCTAGAGTTCAGTGCTTGACCTTTCCTATCTACACTCCCTGCATGAACTCATACAGTCCAATGGCTTTAAATACCATCTATATGCTAGTAACTTGCATATCTCAATTGCCAGTCCCAGCGTCACCCTGTAAATATAGACTAATCTATCCAAAGGCCTACATTACATTTCCATTTACATGTACGTACTCTTGTCTCAGTGTCTTATTTATTTA